TTTGTTTCTCATCTAGTTTTTGATAGGACCAAGATCTGAGGATCTTATTTTGCCCAAACATAAAGAAAAGAATAAACGACTTATCAATATAAAAAAGATCGACGTTCAATTTTGTCACTTTTTGTGATAAATAGGATGTCCATTATTATGCTGTCAAAAAATGATTGTGCGCAATTAATGATTTTGTGTAATTGTTAATTTAGTAATGATATTCAGCCCAATCAAAATTCTTTTTTACGTGATTGACACAAATCATTACCAAATATGCAAATGTCCGCTATGCTTAATTTGTTAATATTAATAATAATAAGGCGACACAACTAAACTTTTTAGGTTTTTATCACTAAAAATTTTCAAATTGATCTGGGTGACCTCTAATTTAATATGAAATTTGTAAAAAAATTTTTTTTAAACTCTATTTTTCAATAATAATGGTTGCGTAACAATTCTTTCTGATCGTAAACCACCGATTCATTTTTTTAATTAATGCAATGTTGTATATAATCATTATAATTATTAATAGTGGTATTATTGCAGCAATATCAACTAGAATATTTTGATGTTGAATTTCTATAAAAATAAACTAGTCAAACGTTTATTAGGGTATACAGTTTTATCAAAAGTTTGACCTTTATTAAAATTGTGGTTGTTAAATTAAATATTAAACGGTTGTTAAAATTAACCAAACAGATTTTAATATATGATCAACCAACTGCGATTTTAAATTACTGTTCAAACCGGGTTAACATTTAAAACATTTAATATTAACACCAGTAATACTACCAATACACAGCGAACCTCGGTTTAACGAATAGTTTTGGCAATTATTATTAGGGAAAATTTCCAAAGATCTGTTTATATCGAGAAGGTTTTTATTAATATTAAGGATTTATTATGAAACCGTTTTTGAACTTCATCCCGTTAAACCGGGATTTTTAATCTAGTAACCGCTGAATCGAGGTATTAATAAATGGCACAGTCGGATATTATGCATTTCCGTCACCTAATAGGTATTGTGGAACAAGGAAACAGGATCTCTGATGCTAATAATAACTATTTCTCATAGTTAATTTTTTGTAATTATAATATATCGATCACCAATTGAATTGTATGCTTCATCGTTGGAGATTTTATAAGTGGTATATGAATGAATGTTAATTTCGTGAAAACGTTGATCATATTTTTTTAATAATAATAAATAGTTACTTTCCTTTATTTGTTCATTTATTAGGTCGAGAAAGTCGTTAAAAGAGGAAATTTAAGGGTTATCAAATTAATTAGAATTACCTTATTTGGGTAATTCTATACTTATATGAAAAAATCATTAATTATTTATGAAACAGGAAAAAACAGAAAGAATGACTGACGATTCATTATTTATACGATCGATCGATATATATATATATATATATTGTCTCCTCTTATTTTTTTAAAGTAAATAAAATTTATTATAAAATTTTCTCAAAAAACAAACACATTCTTTTAAATTATCATCATTTTATTATATATAAACAATGGCCAAATTCGGTGATTTTAATAGCGTTTGTCAGGAAATAGCACTCACGGTATGTCCGCTTATTGGTGCAGAACAAGGAATCGAACCATCATGTTATTCAAGAAATATTGAAATTGGAGGGGCTTTGGTTTTTCAACCTGGTAAATATGTGCTTGTGTGTTTATGTGTGTGTGTCTATACGTAAATACATATAAAATATTCTAATTAAACGCGTATATTTAGCTACACTTATCATACACCTTGTCTCTTTGATGATGACTTCTATCATGGTTTTTCATATAAAATCAAAATATACTGCTGTCGGTTAGTAGAAATATTATTCTTGGTACTTTTATTGATTACGACTTTGTCATTTGCTAGCAATCGATCAATATTAATTAATATATCAATCTTTATTGTAAAATAGGCCGTAAAGAAATCGTATTGTTCTTTTATTTATATATGATGGTTACCTTTTTAGAATTTTTGCTCATTTCCGGTGTCATTCCCACAGCATCCAAAGCTTATCCTGTAAGTATTTTTCACTATTTACCATATACATACATATATATATAAAAACAAAAATAATAATAATTTTCTTTGACACGATGATTACGATTGTTATATAGTATTTCGCAGCTATACATATTGGTCTAATAAGCGCAACATTTTGGTGTCTATTGCTTAATGGATTCGTCGGTTTTCAATTTTTTGAAGACGGAACTTCATTATCACTTTGGGTGAGCTTGCACACGAAACAATCATTAAATTTTCGTTCTTTTCTTATCACTAATACTAATGTAAATTTATAAAAAAGTCATTTCGTCTTTCATCATTATTCGTTTTTACCATCACAGCATTATTATCTCTTGCCACATTTTTAAACATCGGAGGATTGAATTCATCACAACCAATTATTGTATGGATAATATTATATGTATTTAACGGAGCTGCACTTTTCATCTATGTTATACTTCAGATAGTACTAGTCCTTAATACATTGGAGGATCGTTGGCCACTTGGTGATATTATGTTTGGAACGGCGTTTTATGTTATCGGACAAACAGTCCTTTATGTATTCTCTATTCGCATCTGTGACTATGCCAAACATTATATCGACGGACTATTCTTTGGAACGATTTGTACGCTATTGGCTGTTATGATGATTTATAAATATTGGGATTCTATCACAAAAGAAGATCTGGAATTTTCAGTTGGTAGCAAAAAACATACTTGGGAAGTTAAAAAGTTACTTGATGATGATGAAATGATTTATCCAAACGAACAACGACGTCGTTAATTTTAACTTTGAGAAATTAAATATGTAAATTTTTTATTTTTAATATCAACTTTTTTAATTTATAAATACACATACACAAAAAATTCTTTTTCTAATATCAACTTTTTAATTTATACACACAAAAAATTTTTTTTCTAATATCAAGTATTTTACATAATAAATAAAAAAATAAATAAACAAATAATAAATTAAAAATCAATCAATCAAACCTGATGTATTTATTAAAGACATTGTAAAACGACGATGATGATTTGACTCTTGGTAAAATAATTGGTTGACTCCATATTATTAAAAATATTAACATCCATAATATTATTAATATTATATCTGTTATAACTACAACCCATGCTATATGATTTATTACAAATGGACACGATGAATAATTATATCCAAATTCTAAATAATAAAATAGTAAATATATAACATATTAATATATTAATATTAATAGATTTTAATTATTGCATTAAATATATTTATTCATACCTTCTCTTTCTCCCTCCACCCCATAATCTTCATCTTTCTTTGATATTTTCTTTTTAATTTCAAATAATCCTGCATTCCCACTAAACCCTCCCATCATCGATCTTACTGTCACTTCTCTAACAATCCAACTTTTAAGATTCCCATCCTCGTCATATTCCTCATCTTGTTTTCTTCCTAAAATTTCTTGTCTCTTTGATTCAAATATATTTGTCCTAAAAGATTCTATCGTATATTCATCGCTGTTATTATTATTACTATCGTAATTATCGTTTAGTCTTATCACATGTGTTACGTCACATCCTTCATGATCGTGCCCCGCGAATATAAATCGTGGTTTGAGTTTGGTAAGAATGAAATTGGATGAATTTTGCGAAAGATGATTTTGTTCTTTTATCGTATTATCACTTTTTCAAAAATAAATATGGTGAAATTTAGATACTGCTTAATCTTATAATTATAATTAATTAATTAGACAATTAACCCAATAACTAACAAATTAATTGCTCACCTATTATAAACAATCATAGGCCCATCGACACATATTCCTTCTTCTTTATGTATAGGAATATGTGTTAATAATATCAATGGCGTGTTTTGATAATCTTCTTCATCTGAAAGCTTTCTCAAGAATGACCATGTCTCATAATGTAACTCCTGTCAATATTAATTAATTAATTAATAATATATAATACTGTATGTGTTTATAAATAAATAAAAAGTAAATATATATATATATAACACTACTTCATCTAAAACAGGTCCATCCACATTCATAGAATTTATAATTGCTAATTTGTGAAGTTTTTTAATCTTGCGATTATTATTATTATTATTATTATTATCATAACCACCATTATCATTATCATCATTATCATCATTATCATCATCATTATGTATCCAATCAACAAAATTCATTTCTCCAAATGCTTCTTTCCATCTTTCTACTCTATGTTTATTCATATCACCACTATATCCAATATCATGATTTCCTGTTAAATTTATAAGTTTATGATTATATTCCTTTATCAAGGAGGCAAAAAAATCAATCATCGATCATTAACCAATAATCAATAATAATCATCGTCATTAATAATTAATACAAACTCCTTTAGGATCACCAAAAATCCATTTATATCTTTCTGTTCGTTGCTTAAATTCTTTGTCTTTAATCCATTGACTTGAAAATAAATCACCTAAAACAATGGTATGTGTTGGTTTTGACGAAAATAGTGAATCTAGAGATACAAATGATGTGTAGATGTGTCGAAGGTACAAGTCATTGCCAAATAAATCAATTTTTCCTATTGATAAAAATGTATAATTGTTATGACTATTATGGTTATTATGATTATTATACACGCATATATCCATATTTATGAACCTCGAATTCCTTGTCTACGTATTTTACTTTCTCCTTCTATTTGCGGATCGGCTAGAAATAATATCCTCGTTTCTGAATCTATATGAAAAACAAAAAAATTATTTATTGATTAAATAATTAAATGCAATCTCATAATTGTAACAAGCAATTTTTACTAATGATAACAATAAAAATAATGAATGTTTAGTTTATAGAACAAAAAGTCAAGCTTTTGAATGAAACATTTTACATTTCTCACCTCTTTTACATTTAATCTAAAATCTAAACATAAAAATAACTAACGCACTCACCCTTCCATTTCCATCCACAAAATGCAGTATAATAATACAAGTATAAAGAGGCCCCAAGGGCGGTCAAAGTCAAAGATTGGAGTAATAAGACAGTTGTATGCATTCGGATTTCTTTTTTTTTTTTATAATATATTATTTTGCAGAGTTGGAAATACAAGTTTGAATTTTATTTGCATTTTGTTTATTTACAGCAATATAGATCGCCCAATTCAACTGTGTTACATAGGTAAAAAATAAAGTTGTTACAAAAAAAAAAACACTAATACTAATACTAATATTATTCCGCAAATTATACGCTGGATCCGAGGATTGCGTAGAATATTAATATTTAATATTACATAATAAATAATATACTAATGCGTGCGAATAATAAATAATAAATTCAACTTTTACATATTATAATTAACAACATAGCTTTGATCCTTATTTACCAACTTTCTAATTCTGAAGGTTATTGGTAAAATGATAATTGAGGATTTGACTATTAAAAGCTTTGTCCGTAATTAAAAAATTTTCTGACCGATTGGTTTTTATACCTTTTAAAAGATTTTCATTTTAAATATAGTTAATACTAAATCCAATTTTATTCTAAATCATTAATGTATAAATAAAGTAATACACCGTTTTGCTTGCTATCTTTGGGTTATTATGATTATTGTTTACCCGATATTTTTGGTTACTGTTCCACAGTTTCAAAGCATTGTTGATTGTTTGAATGATCATCTGTCATAAGATGTATATGTATATATATATATATATTATTTATATATAATCACACTACACAATTATATCAGTATACAAATGAATTTATGTACGACCCTTGTTTGGAAATATAAATTGAACAAAAAAGCTTGATCGAAGAATTGCTGTTTTAAAGGCTATTATTCCATAAAAATTTTTTTATTGTAAAATTATTTTTTTAACGCGTTTTAAAATAATATTTGTCATTTTTAGAATTCATAAATACAATTTTTTACCTATTTTTGTAAACTGGTATCCCTGATGATATAATAATGTGTAATATTGACGAAAAAAGATAATATGATAAATAATAAATAATTATTAATTTTTTAATGGTCTGTTCTACACATTTGTCACCAATAGTTGTTTTCATCTTAAAAGGTAAAATGCAAGAGTTAAAGAGTACAAGTAAAATTTTAATAATACATTAAAAATAAAAAGTACCAAACAATTTATATTAAATTGGTGTTACGAATTTGGAATTTGTTACTCAAATAAAACTAGTATTTCAACAGGTAATAGGGTAAGCCAAAAAAAAATCAAATTAAGAAAAGAACGGAAATCATACTTTACCTTTAAAAAAAAAAATTTCTTTTTTTAAAAAAAAAAAAAATCGTTACGATTTGCTTTTTTTTCCGCTAAAAAAAAAAAAAAACAATTTTATCGTTTTTTTTAATTAATTAAAAATCAAAAAATAAATACTGTTATTGCATGATAGTATACTCATTTGTGCTTGATTACAATTTTATATATATTATATATATATACACACACACACACTATTGAATTCAAAATAAATTAATAAAAAATTGCAGTTTCAAAATCATAAATTATTATAAAAACAGGTGATTTTTTTAATTCTTTGTTTCAAATGACCACAAATAGTGTGGGATCCGAAAAAACCTCTGTACAAGTAGGTGAGTGTAATCAAATTTATTTAATGAATGTAATGGTGGGAAAATTTCATCATTTTTTATGTTGATTAATCAATTATTAATCAATTATTTAAAAAATAATTTTTTTAATTTAGCACTTCGCATAAGACCCATAACAAATGAAGATGTAGCGCATTTACCAACAAGGTTACAACGACAAGTCATTACGGCAACACCTACTGCCCCTAATACGGTGGTAGTTCAATCAGACAAAAAATTATCTTTTAATTACGATCATGTGTTTGGACCTGATTCATCACAACAAGAAGTATATGACAAGGCTGTAATAAATTTAGTTGAAAATTTTTTAGAGGGTAATTAAAAAAAATTTATATATCATTAGTTATTTATTCATTTATATAAATAAATAAAATTTTTTATAATACATGTCCTTTTATTTTATATTTATGCTTTATACCAAAGGTTATAATGTAACAATATTGGCATATGGACAGACGTCTTCAGGTAAAACACACACAATGGGCACTGCAGATAATAATTCAATACCACCAGAATCAAAAGGTATAATCCCACGTGCGATGGATACCCTTTTCAATTTCTTGAACTCTCCTAATTATAAAACTAGAAGGTTTTCATTAAAGGTATCATTTGTGGAGCTTTACAATGAAGATTTAATAGATCTTCTTGGTGAAGGACATGGCGATCTTAGACCTCAAGTGATGATTCGTGAAGATGCTAAAGGTAATATACTTTGGAGCGGTTTACAAGAAATAAGGGTAAACAGCGTTGAAGAAGTGATGAGTTATCTAGCTCATGGCTCATTAAACAGACAAGTTGGTGCAACTGACATGAATTCACAATCATCAAGGTCGCATGCTATTTTTTCAGTTACTATGGTACAACAGAAAGCTAGTTTGTCAGCTGCAGGTCAAAGTTTACGGCCTGGTACACCTTCCAAACTTGAATCAAAATTCGGTGCTCGTCAGGCGTCAAACACAAATTTAAGACTAAGTCGTAGATTTGATGAGGGTGAACTTATCACTGTTACAAGCAAATTTCATTTTGTTGATTTAGCTGGTAGTGAAAGGGTGCGACAAATTTAAATTAAACCATTTATTGTTTGTTATTATTAATTTTAGCATTTTTTTTTTATACAAAAACACATAACTCACGTATATTCCTTTATATCCTCTCAGTTAAAACGAACCTCCGCTCTTAATGAGCGTGCTAAAGAAGGTATATCAATCAATTCTGGTTTGCTTGCATTGGGTAATGTGATTTCAGCTTTAGGTGATCCAAACAAAGCGAAACATACAACTCATATTCCATACAGAGACTCAAAACTCACCAGATTATTGCAAGATTCTCTTGGTGGTAATGCACAAACCTTAATGATTGCTTGTGTATCATCTGCTGAATATAATCTTAATGAGACAATTAACACATTAAAATATGCTAATAGAGCACGTAATATCAAAAATAATGCTGTTTTGAATCAAGAAGAAATTGGCTGGAATGATTTAGAACATTTACAATCTCTTGTTTTGAAATTAAGAATTGAAATAAAAAATCTAAAATCTGGTTCTAATAGCAACAATGGTTCTAATAATAGTTCTGGTAGAAATACTCCCACTCACAATGAAAAGGATGGTTCTACCGGCTTACAACCCCCTCAACTAAAGCGTCTTAATTCTTCTCTTTCAATAAATTCAAATGGTAGCGGTAGTTTGACTTACCATAAAAGTGATAAAGATGTTGATGCTTTAGAAGAAAAACTTTCCCTATTACAAAGTTCCTACGTTGAATTATCTCAGAGATATGCGAAACAATCTGCAGCGCTTGCTTTACATCAAGACAACACCGATAACGTGGATGGAAATCCTCGTCAACTTTCATCAGAGGAAAAGGAAAGTATTTTAAAACAAGCAGCTGCAAGTTTTCAAGAAGCTGTTGAACCGGTCATTGAAGAATATGAAAAATCAACATCCGCTTTGGAAAGCAAACTTGCTGTGGCACACGCAGCTTTGAATCACACAGAAAATATGATGAATGATCAAGAAATGAGAATCGAGATTGCTGAACAAGCTAACGAACAAAGCAAGAACCAAATAAATGATTTGAAAAACAAGATTTCTCAGTTTTGTGAACGTGAATCAGTCACCGAACAACATATCAAAGATCTCGAATCAAAACTCGAGTATCGCAATCAAGAACAACAAAAAGATCAAGATATGATCAACGAATTAAAACTTAAAATTTCTCAAATGAAATCAACTGGTTCAAATAGCGAAGGTTACATTCATGAACTTGAAACACGTTTGGCTTCAAGCGAGGAGGAACTAAAGAAATTTGTAAAGAATGTCGAAAAACTTGAAAAGCATCTACAACAAAGAGAACAACAATGCACAGAATTGGAGATCAGGTTAAAGGATTCTACTTCAGAGGAAGAAAAGAAATCATTATTAAATCAAATTAATGATCGTGATGGTAGAATCGCTCAACTTGAGGAAAAGGTTGATGATCTTGCTCGTGAATTAGATTTGTTGAAGCGACAAAGCGAACAAAAGGTTGATGATCTTTCTCACGAATTAAATGTGTTGAAGCAACAAAGCGAACAAAAAGAAAACATAAATGATCAAATTTCACAAGAAATAACCACGTCAGGTTTATCTCCGGCATCAGAAGATGATAGATTATATCATTTTTCACCAATTCTAGGAAAAATGTCATTGAAAGATGAACAAGATCGTTTGGCTGTTGTGGCTTTGGAACAAAAACTATCCGAATTACAAAAAACACACGAAAAAACCGTCCAAGAATTTTCAGAAATCAAATCTAAACATGAATCATGTATTCAAGAAATTCAAGATCTTCAATCACAATTATCCGAATCAAGAATGGCTGATTCAGGGATCCTTGACGATCTCAAATCTACCACACCATCAACTCCAGCTACTCCAATGACGCCCTACAGTATTCATGGTGGTCAAAACCCTATAAGAATGTCTCTTCCCCCGATAAATTTAAGTGAAATTAAAGATAACAGCGAGCCTAAACATGGTTTACACCGTAAAACACAATCATTATCAAATGAGATGAAAGAGTTTGAGCAATATGACGCCACCCACCTTTCCATGATTCAACGTTTACAAAATGAGCTCAAGCAGCTCGAATCACTAAATGAAGATAAAGGTTCTGGCCTGGAAGCTGTTAAACAAGAATTTGCTCGTTTAGAAATGAATCATCGCCAAACACTTGAAACTGTTGAAGAACTTCGCGAAGAAATAAAAAGACGTGATGCAATTGCGCAATCAGAAGCATCATCAGTCATCACTTCAGAAAGTAATAGTAAGAATAATAATTCTGCCATATCTTCCGAGCTTGATGAACTTGATATTATTAGTAGGAATCGTGAAGAGGCTGAACAAAAAATAGAGCTTATAAGTGAATTGGAACGTGTAAAGAAAGATTATGGTTTACAAGAGCAACTTGTAATTTCTCTTGAAAAGGAATTGAACATGATGAGACAAGAATTAAAAAAGGAAGTAGAAGAAATTAACGAGAAAAATACAAACGAGCTTGAATCATTGAAAAAATCGTTGGAGAATGCATTGAAACAGCGAGATGAAGAACAAAAAAATGTTAACAAATTAGAAATCGAAATTAAGACATTGAAGGAATTTGATTCAAACGATGACGAAAGTTTAAATGAGCTTAGGGAACAATTAATCAACTCAACATTAGAAAACGAGGAAAAAAATAAATTGATAACGGAGCTTAATAATCAATTAACAAATGCTGAAAAGGAACATGAACTTAAAATCCAACAAGTGAATGAACTAACAAGAGCCCTTGAGAACAAAGAGCTAGAATATAAAGAAATCATTGAATCGTTACATTCTAAGATCATGAATTTAGAATCTCAGCTTGAAGAATTAAAAAAATCATCGCAAACTGGTCAAAATAACATTTCTAATCTTGGAAATCAATTAGCTAAGGCAGAAACTCAACTTGAAGAATTTAAAGAATCAGAAGGAAATAAAAAATATATAGCGAATGATCTTGAAGAAAAATTAAAGGAAGTAAATATTGCTTTAAGCGAGAAAGAAAAATTACTTTCAACTAAAGATTCACAAATTGCCGAGCTGGAATCCATTGTTCAAAAAAATAGATTGGAACATGAAAATGCAAAATTATCTGAAACTGCTCAAGCCGATTTAGTTAAAGACCTTCAATCACAACTTGGCGAGTTGGAGAAAAAATTAGAAGACAATAAAAATTCATCTTCCTCTGAATTGATAGCATCCAAAGAGTCTGCAGCGAAGAATGCAAAACTTGTTGAAGAGTTAGAAGCCAAGTTAGAATTTTTGGAAAAAGAATTGCCTACAACTGTGAAAACAGGTATTGACTCGGTAACTTTGACGAGCGCAGAATTAGAAGAAATCAAGCGTTTAGAAGTTACTCAAGAGGCTTTAATTAAAGACTTGAAAACTGAACTGGAAGAAAAACAAGATTCTTTGAGTAAATTAGAAGAAACAGTCCAACAAATTAATGGAGAACTTGAAAGTGTTAGAACGTCTGAAAATAATAAATCTGAATTTATAAACACTTTGGAAATGAAGTTAAAAGAAGCTGAAAATAATTACAGTACGGAAACTTTGAAATTGAAAGATGCTAAAGATGAAATAGAGGATCTTAAGAGGCAGTGTAAAACATTAGAAAATCAACTTTGTGTTTTCCAAAAAGATAATGATGAAACTGTTGATGATAATGCTGTGGTTGAAGATCTTACAAATCAACTTAAAAAAGCACATGATGAAATTAAAGAATATCAAGACCATCTAAAAGAATTAGAAAATATTTCTAAACAAGTTGAGGCTGATAAAAATAATCAGATTGACGTAAATGTAGATCTTACACACCAAATTAAGAACCTTCAAAAAGAACTTGAACGTATGGCAGAAGAACTCACCGAATCCACAACAGAAAATGAAAGCATTAAGACGCTTTCACAAAAACAAAAAGATCGTATAACCGAATTAGAAATTTCACTTGAACAAACTACAAATCAAATCATAGAAACTTCTACAAATAGCAATTCAAATGACAAGTCGCGCAGTCCAATAACAACAAATCCTGCGCTTGCACAGTTATCTATAGCAAATGAGGATTTAAGACAAAAGAATAACGAACTTGGTGAAACAATAAAGGTTTCAGAAGAGAGAGTAGTATTACTAACAGAAAACGTTAAAATCCTAGAAAGTGAAGTTGAACGATTAAAATCTGTTGGATCTAAAGGTTTTACTGCTGTAAGCGTTGATGAATTAAAAAGTAAAATAAGTGAGCTTGAGGCTGAAAAAGAAGGATTGGAGGAAGCTAATAAAGCATTCTGTGAAGAGCGTAAGAAGCTCGATCAAAAAATAGATTCATTATTGAAACAGTTACAAACAGCAGGGCGTGAAGGTAATAAAGGAGCAGCACAATTATCAGAATTACATGCTAGGCTGACAGAAATTGACCAAGAATATAATAATTATAAACAAAAGTCTATAACTGATATTCAAGAGATGGAGTCAGAGATTACAAGATTAATTGATGTAAATCAACAACTTGAAAAAGAATTAAGTAAAATAAATTCAAACATACTAACCCCAGATAATGTATCGATCAAGTCAAGAAGCAGCGTGACATCATTTGATGTTGTACCACCTTCACCTGGTGCATCCCGAGCCAATAATTTAGATAGCACAGCTAAAACCAAACTTAATCGACAAGAAAATAAGATCATACAACAAAGCAATATTATTAAAGTTCTTCAAGATAAAGTTATGGAACTTGAACGTAGATTAGTAGAGGAAACTTCTCGTCGTAGAAGACCTTCAAATGCCAGTGGAATCTCTGTAACAGATGTTGATAATTCAAGATTATCCACCATGTCCACAGTATCTAATAATTCTTCTTCAGACGCACTAAAGAAAGTACGACCTGGCATGATAGCGACAGTTAAATCACCTCCACCTACACCACCACCTAGTCAACCTTTACCTCCACCACCTATGGCACTTCCTCCTGTTCCAGGCTCGCCATCCACCCCTACGACTCCAGTAAATAATGTAAAGCCACCAAATTCATCGCGACCTGATTCTAATACAGAGGTTACAGTAGAAATTCAAAAATTACAAAAGAAATTAGCCAGATTAGAGGGGGATAATCTTCAAAGTCGTCATTTGGTTGCAACTCTAGAAAATTCACTAACAGAAAACGAAGACGAGTTACGTGTTGCTAAGCAACAATTACAATTTTTACAAAAAGAAAAGACAGAACTTTTAGATCAAATTAAAGCATTGAGATCACAGTTGGATGAAACAACGGCCCAATTTGAACACGCCAAATCATCGGTGTACGAAGAAAAGAAGGATATCGAAAAGGTGTTGGAAGTAGAGCGAAAAGCCAAAGAAAATGCCGAGAAAGCGAGAAGGCAACTTGAAAGTCGGATGGAAGAACTCATGGCCAAGAAAAGCAAGTTCATGTGCTTTTAAGACTGTTGTGTTGAATGTCAACTCTCATTATAACGAAATTCCCCTTTCAACACCTCACAATCACCATTTGTTCTTTATGTGAATCCGTGTGTGGGTATTCGAGATTAATTCATGACCAAAACAAAAATTTTTCTTTTCATTTCGTCCTTAAAATTCATTACCTAAAATTTTTAAATATTAAAAAAAAAAAAAAAAACATGTATATATATATATTATTATAATTATTTTCAAAATTCCAAAACTCTTTTTAAATCATTCGCATTTTTCTTTTTTATCAACCTTCTAAATTCGTTATACGGAGAGTTGACTGATTTGTAATTTATTATATATAGTTTTATACATGTATGTATACTTATTTGTAATTTTTTTTAAAAAAAATTTTTAAATAGAATCTTTTCTTCGCCCACTTATAAAACCATTCATCAATCGGAACAAACACTCTGTCAGGACTGAGGTCACCACAAGCGCCATTACCGGGGAGGAAGATCATGTGTTATAAATACCTCTGGATTGCTTTTGGGACAACATATTGTATTATATACATGTTATATATCTGTGTAATTATTTATATATTTTATAAATATATACATCATTTAAAAGAAACCAGCCAGTTAACCAGCCAACCAGCCAACAACATCCCATGGATGCTCTTTGTATAGATAGAATTTGGATAATTATATTTATTTATTTATTTTTATATATAGAAACTAAAATTTATAAAATCTTAAAAAAATTGTAAATTAAAGCTAATTGTATTTTTAATAATAGACTTATTTGCCGTTTGTTGTATTAAAAAGACTTTTTAACAAATAGATATATATATATTAATCATTGTGTGTTATTATTATTATTATATGGGCATGCTGTAACAAAACCAGACAAAGTGAACATTTGTATTACTAAGAATTTCAGGGATCAAAATTTAGAGTAATTGGTAATAATATTAATATTAATGTGTATATTCTTACACCCTACAATCATTTAACATTTCAACTAACAAACAGTAAGAATACTTTATTTACAAAATTTCGAAGGAAAAAAGCATGTCATAGTCATGTGATATTAAAATTGCAATTTTAGCATATAACATATATATATCATCTTACCAACCTTAGAGATTTCAATTTTGCGTTCACACTTTTTTCTCACAACTGATGCTCGGAAAGAATTAACAGCTGGTGAATTTTTTTCAGCCTAATAATGATATAAAATCGTTACATACATCACATAAAGTCAATCTAACAAATTTATATAAAATACATAAAATATCTGGTGTGGATGAACTATGACAAGGCACGTAGCCCGCAACTCTAATAGTACGTAACCATCGGTTGTGTCATGGCAATAGCACGCTTATCCAAGGACACTCAAAGGAGGACGTACCCCACAGTCACCATCCTAATGCGTAATCAGTTGGCTATTCAAGTTTTGTCAACACCGACAGAACATATCATGTGCATGTGTTCTAGTCCTTGGACCCATCCACATCAGGAATCTTACCTTGAGATTATCAATACACTTTTTAGCTTTGGCTCGTTGTTTTGTATTGTAGTAATTAACGATGTAATCAAGGTTCTTACGATAGGATAAATGTTCATTATTTCTGTTAGCTAAGAAGTCCTCACAATTCACTCTATATCTCAAGTAACCAATCAAGGTCCAACTTTCATTTTCTTTAAAGCATTCGTTAGAAATTAGCATTGTATTGGTATGTATAAAATGATTATTATGAAAAAGCCGTTATTGACCCGCGTAACATAATAATGATAATAACAATGCAGATCGTGTAACGGTACAAGAAAAATTTTAATATCGCGAACACTTCAAAAAAAAATTTCCCATTTCTCATGTAGCAAGCAATTTTTAACCGTAATAAAAGTTTTAGAACCAGACTAGAACTTCTCAATGACAATTAAAAAAAAGAGACTAGCTTAAATATTAATAGTTCTATACTAGGCTGAAAATGCTTCCTTTTTACGCACTTATTTTAAGATTTTTATCCAAAAGAGGCACTACTGAATCTAATATCTATCATGTTAAAACTACTGCCTCTGACTTAAAAGATGAAGATTTTGCCAAAGCTGCTGATGAATGTAAAAACAATATTTCAAGGAATAAAGAAAATCATGATGATAAATCTATTTGATGATGAATACCATTTTGGGTTTTATAATTGTTATGATTTATGTTTTTAAAAGGACTAAAAAAGAAAAAATAGATCAATATGTAATAATAAGATTATTTTTCTTCCAAAAGTTTCTGCTTTTTGTTAGGTAATAGCACACCTTTATTCTGCTTTCTTTTTCTAACATTTATTATTTTCCTTTCTTGGTAAATCTCACAGGTAATTTTTTCTTTTCTTAGATAAGTTTCAGTGTCTGAGTATTATTTATTTTGAAAACGTAAGGTGCAATTTTTTCACCTTGTTCCTTTTTTAAAATACTTCTGATAGTACTATAATTCTTGGGTTCCATAATAGATCTGATGTAATGAGTTCATATTAACTATTTTTATATAGGGATAGTTTTATATATCACTTAAGATAACAAATGGGATATTATAAAACTGTTAATTATTATCACATTACAATGATAATTTTTGATCCCTGAAATCCTTGGTAATACCAATGTTCACTTTGTCTGGTTTTGTTGCAGCATGCCCCATATAAGACATGTCGCGAAGATTTACCAGAATCCCTGCTTGAACATGTAACCTACCCATTCTGTAATTTGACCAATCATTTACCGGTCAACGTAGAAAATGCACTATCTTTCTTGATTAAAAAATTCATTAATTGATTGATTGATGAAGTCTTATGATTGGTCACGTTTATAATATAATGGACCTGAGCAATTACAAAATAAATTTTTAAGAGAGGTGATTTTTATATTTGTCAGTAAAATTCGGTATTAAATAGTATTTAATTAAAAATTAAATCAGTATTCAATTTTTCAATCGTAACTTGCATCTTTTGGTACCTTTTTTTTTAATCAATTGATTTGATTTAAATTTCGTGTCATCTAATTAGTGAGACCTGTAATCAATCACTTATAACCAACCCCCTTTCTCCGACCTTAAAATAATATCTAATGAAAATATTTATTGGACAGTTTATTATATGTTACGATGTGTGTGATGGTTGATGAGATTATAAATCAGGAGGGAGCATCATTATTCTTTTAATATATGATTACTAAAAGGTTTTATATTTGACTCTTATTTTTTTCAATATAAATATAGTAGTTTTTATAAATTAAGTATTAATCATTACATTTTTTTTTTTTTTTATATTTTACGTATATATATTTATTAGTTTACATATTATTTTCCTCTCACGAAAATTTTCAAAAACTAAATTATTAAAGTAAAAAAAATATTGATTTCTTTTGATCACCTAAAGCATCAAAATCAGTAAAAAAAAAACGACAAAATCAATTTTTAGAGTGATAAAATAAGGTTTTTTTCCCCCAATGATCGTTTATTTATTATATATTAATATTTGAAAATATATATGAACTAAGTTGTTCTATTTATCAAAAAAAAATTTTTTTCACTCTCTAAATAACTAAATAAAGTTTTCCTTTTTTTAATTAAATAATATTCATTATAATAGTAAATTGTTTATATATAACTTGTTTTTTTCCCTATTTCCCTTTTTTTAAAAAATCAACACAAATTTACGCGTCTCTTAAATTAATATGCTCAAAGAGTCTATTTTTTTACAAATACACGTTTATTATTAATAATGTCTGAAAATATTGAACAAACAGCGCAAGAGGAAAATCCAATAATTGAAAGTTGCGAGGAGAGACAAATCGACAAGGACGAAACAAAAGAAATTCCAGACTCTATTAAAAAGAGCGGAAAAGTTTTATCACTATCGACATCGTCACCGTCACCGTCAACATCATCAAAAAATAAATCTGATAATTCATTATCCCTTCTCAATATTTGTAATATTATACAAAATTCATATCCTACCACCACCACTACTTGCACACAATCACCAATCAATACTTTATCACCTCTGCAACAACAAAATCAACTTGACGAAGAATTCATCAAACTTAATAATAATGGTTTATTAAAGCCAAAAGAGAAAAATTTCACCAAAATAACCGATCATGCATCAGATAAATCACCAACGAAATCTGACGATAATACACAAAATAAGCCTACCGACGAAATTATGATCAATTCTTCTCCTTTTTCTAATAATAGCAGTAATAGCAGCAGCAGTAAATGTAATCTTACAAATATTTTGGACACCAATTCAAATTCTCCGCACATTAATAATACTATAACATCACAAGAAACCAATAATAATAATAATAATAATAATAATAATAATAATAATAATAATAATAATAATAATAATAACAATACCACGTTACCAGGTCTCAATCAATCAAAATTGGAATTTGAATCATCGTTATGCCTACAATGTCTTTACATTTCTCAACAACACTATCACCACTATTATCATCAATTCCCTCATCGCAATCACCAACATGGCCATAGTCAACCAACCTCTCCTAATTTACCGACAGGACCCTCTTCATTCAATAATGGATTATCTTTTCCTCTTCAATATTATTTTGCTTTACCCAATAGTTGTTTCTATTCACAACCGTCATCGTTATCGTCGTCGTCATCATCACCTCATCGAGTAAACCACAGTCCAACATCTGTATTATATTCAAATAAATCAAATCCATTATCAAGTAATGAAAATATTATTACCTGTAGTAACAATAATTCTAATAATGATGATGATAGTAATAATGATAACAATACTACAAGTGATAGTAGCGGTAATAATATTATTAGCAGTAGTAATAATAATAATAGTAATAACAAAAATACAAAAACCTTTTCAGCGGAAAATCACAAAATTATGAATGGAGGAAATTTGATAATTTTAAATCAACATCATGAAGAACAGATTACCTCAAATATTGGATGTAGTCATTGTAATAACATTATCAAGAGCGGTGGTAATGGCAATGGTAATAGCAATGCTAGCGTCAACAACAACAATCATAATGCATCGACAACAAGACGTTCAATTTCATCTGATACCAATTCAATAAACACCCATTCTTTTCAGTCAAGAAGACGACGAAGAAGAAGATCAAGAGCAACCATAGCATCTCCTCGAACTAATTCTAGCAAAATCATCAAAACTGGCGAGATTTATCGATGTTCAAATTGCGGTGCAAGGGAAACACCAGCTTGGAGACGAGATTTACAAGGAGAAGCTTTACTTTGTAATGCATGTGGCTTATAGTTAGTATATTTAAATATACATGTTATCATTTTTATTTTATTTATATACACATATGTATAAGTGAATATAAATATATTTATGTTTGTACTTTGCTAGTCTTAAGGTTAAGGGGAGACAGCGTCCTACAGAAGTTGATACTGATGGAGAAATTCGTTTAATTAAACCGGAAAAGGCAGGGACAGGACCACCAAGTTGTCAAAATTGTGGCACGCAAGAAACTCCTTGTTGGAGAGGGTCAGAAGGCAGTAAACTTTGTAGGTTATCATCATTAGATTAATGTTTGTGTTTATTCTATATCATATTTTTATGTTAATTATTAATTACTTTTATATATATATTTATATATAGGCAATCGATGTGGTTTATTTCTTAAACAACATGGGTATCAACGACCAGGTGCCCCACAACGAATTTCACCAAACAAACCTAACGATAATGGCGAAAATATTGACGTTAATCATGATATTTATAATAATAGCATTGACGACGATAATAATAATAGTAGTAGCAGTAGCAGCAGCAGCAATGATAGTAAACACAATGAAAATAGTAATAACCAATATTGACGATAATTAAAATTTAAATAATTAAATTTTTTTTATTAATTAGTGTGTGTAATATTATAATTATTATTGCAATAAATTAAGCTTTATATAGAGAAATAAAAAAAGTACATTTTATTTTTAATTAAAAATAAATAATCAAATAATCAAATCTATTAATAATTAATTATAAGGTTGATTGTGAGTTGTATTGTAACTGTTTTGTTGTGGATTAATTTGTTGTTCAGGATTCCAGGGATTCTGGTGAAGGTAAATTGGCTGTTGTTGTGAAAATATGTTTGAAGGTAATTTATAGATATTATTATCATTGTTATTATTATTTAGAAGAGAATTATGCAAATGTGAATTCGTGAGAATATTAGGTGTTGATTGTTGTTGTTGGCTCCATTGTTGTTTAGGAAGAAAAAGATTTCTTTGTGGGATATTTTGCCATGGCTGTAAAGTATTTTGCCATTTTTGTGGTTTTTGTGGATGATTCATTGTTTGTAATATCATATGTTCTAATTGTAGTTGGTATTGTAATGATAACGGTGATGATGTTGGGATGGATTTCCATGTTTGTTGTTGTTGTTGTTGTTGTGGGAAAGAGTTAATCTGTGGGGGGTAAAATGTTCCTATTGTAGTAATAGGAATGGAAGTCTGTGGCATTTGTAAAATTCTCGGCTCTGATTTAAAAAACGCAATTGGTTCAAAATTATCTACCGATTCCATTTTTACAGTTACGTTATTATTATCATGAGAATAAAATTGATTATCGTGACGTTGTTGTTGTGGAAATGACATTTGTTGGAAACAATAAGTTTCTCGTTGATTATTTTGAAGAGTCTGTTGTTGTTGTTGTTGTTGTTGTTGTTGTTGTTGTCGTTGTTGTTGTTGTTGATTTTGAAATTGTTGTATGTTATTGTTGCTTTTGCTATTAAAGTCATTTTGTTGAGGTATTAGTAATGATGACTGTTGCGACTGGTAAGACTGAAAGTTTAGCATATTTTGAGTTAGTATATTACCACAAGCATTACGATTGTTGCTATTGTTGTCGTTATTATTATTAGGCATTGAGATATTAAAATCTTGTATATTATTATGAATGCTCGGTACCCTTTCTTGTGGTTGTGGTTGTTGAAAAGCAATCGAAGAAGTAGTAGTAGTAGTAGAATTTTGATTAATGTTACATGTATTTGAATTAATATATTCCTGTTTTGAATTTACGTTGTCATAACTTTGAGTGTTTATGGACGAATTCATGATGCTACAACAACAGCAATTATTTGTTATAGATCTGTTGTTATCATTGTTTGAAAATCGACAACTCAAAACGCTATTATCATTATTGGTATCATTGGTATTTGAAGATGACGACGACGATGATAATAATAATGGTGGTGGTGATGATGGTTGAATTTCGTTTGCGCTAATCGTATTAACAGCGTTCAATGAATCAAGCAAAGATTGGAAACTTATTGTCTCTATATTCGAAACTGGATTGGTTATAAAGTTAGGAGGCCCTGAATCTTTTTTATCGTCGTCACCGTCGTCGTCGTCGTTGTCGTCACCGTCGTTGTCGTCACCGTCATCTTCTACACCACCAACGTTACTCGTTTGATTTTTAACATTATCATGATTCTATAATGAAAGATATTGTATAAAAATTTATTTCAAATATAACTAATATATATAAATATATTTTATTTTATACTTTACTGATTTATTATTATTATTATATTCCTGCATGGTTTTTTTCCATTCTTCCATTTTTTTCTTTGAAATATTAAAATAAGGCTATATATAACAATAGCGTAAACGTTAATGTATTAATGTAAAAAAAAAATCGAAAATACAACGCGTCTAATTATTATATCGAATCTATATATATATATCATAAAAACCTCTTTTTCTTTTTTGGACATGGAACTCCATAATTTTCTAATAATAGAAGCACGTTTGATTGCAGTATAATTAGGATATTTTTCTACATATTCGGGTCTACGAAAAATTATATAGCAACATAAATAAATAGAGCCAAAATCATAAATATATAATGTAAACAAAGATTTTTTTACATGTACCTTTTCTCATTAACAAATATAAAAAATGCGTTGAGAGGTCTCTTTGGAATTTTTTCATTATTTAAAACTTTTTTCCGATTATTCTTACAACCAGCCTTTTGTGATTGTTGCGTTTTTGATCCTTTGATGTTTTTATTATTAGTATTGGCGTTAATATTATTAGAGCTAGCGTTATTTTCCATGATTATTGATTGATTTTACAGAAAAAAAAAAAAGAATTATTTATTCTCGAAACAAGATTTATTTTTATCATAGTTTTTGGATAAACTTTTTTGAGTTTAACTTTTATACATTTATTTATAAACTTTGAACTATATATTATTATAAACTTTATAGGTTTAGCTTTTATTTTTTGTCAAAAAAAAAAGAAGACATCTATAATGTTATCTATTTGTTTTATTTCCATCAGCTAAATTTACCATTAAACGGGAAAGAAGAAATGGAAAAGAGGAAACATAAAAAAGGCAAGACGCGAGATGAGGAATGAGGAGGAATTATGATTACAATTTGTAAGGGAATTAATTATATAGATTTTTAATGACCTTCACCACCACCACCACTACCTGTACTTAAACCAAAATCATCTGGAGGTAAATTTCTGCTGAATGGATTACATTTCAATATAACAGCTTCTTTGAGTTCTGGTACATTTGGGAAATAAAAGAAAGCAACAGCAATGATCACATAGGAAACCTAAAAAATGGAAGAACAATTAATCAATAATCAGATTTGTTGAAAAATTTCTTTTTCTTGAAATTTTATATTTAATTTTTTGTGTTTTACTTACAATCAACATGTATCCTTCTAACCAATTTGCTTTACCATCCTAGATAATTTTTAAAAGGAAAAAAAAATCATTAATTAAATAATGATAAACAAGTAAATCAAATATGGATATTAGTGATTGTTTTACATACAGCTACTAAATAATTGACAATCAGAACAGCGCACGCAAGTACACAAATTTCAAGAGTATTAAAATCCAATGTCAAAGGTCTTGATGTAATCCAACCAAAAAGCACAAGAACAGGAGTAACCAAAAGAGCGATTTGCTATAATAATAATAATAATAACGTTATTGTTATATTTTAAGACAATCATAATAATGATAATGACTAATATTATGATAAATAATTACCACAGATGTATTAAGAATTAAACCGACGGCAGTATCAATTTTATCTTCAGAGGCTTCTTTAATAGCATCATAATGTTCCATGAAATTAGAAACAACTATTATAATTATTAAATAAGTTAATAAATTATCATCATAATCATTATTAGTTGAAGGAAGAATATATATATGTGTGAAAGAATGATAAATACCACACAAAGGTAAAAGAACCATTCCGATAAATCCATTTCCAAGTCGAAAACTATGAGCCGTGTGTTCAATACTTGTCACTAGGTATCTTGCACATACAACAATACCAGTTATAGAGGCGACAATTCTGGAAATAATAAATATATAAAATATATAAATATAAATACACAAACATATCCATGTAATTTTACATAATTTAAAAAAAATCGTATTTACAAGAAAATGTCAAAGAGAAGGAAATATTTTGGTTCTCTGTAGTGAACTTCATCCATAGAAATGGTCTAGTATATTTTCAAAAAATCCCCAAAATTAATAAAATTAATAACTGAAATAAACAAATACAAACACACGCATATAAATAAATAAATATACTTACAGATGTAACGTGAGTTTTCAATTGAAATATTAGAAGAGCAGCATAAACAAATAATAAAATGATAGCAATAGCATGACTAATATTCTGTAAATCACATTCAATGCCCGTGCCCACAGGAGCAGCAATTTTGAATGCGGCAGGAGTGACAAGTGCAAGAACAGCAAGAGCCAAGGTAGATGCACTGGTGGATACAAAAAGTTGTGTGCTTAAATGAGCATTCATAGACTCTCTCTTGGACTTTTTTCTTGGCCAAGATCCTGCCAAAAATACAACACCAAGAACCTTTTGTTTTATTGAAGCAGCAAATTTGTAAATAATTAGTATTACAATGAATGAACGAATGAATGAACGAATGAATGAATGAATGAACGAATGAATGAATGAATAATGAATGAATAATGAATGAGTAATGAATGAATGAATGAATGAACGAATGAATGAATGAATGTGTGTATGTGAATAGGTTTAATGTGTGTGTATATATTAAATCCACTTACCAATAATATGTTACATAAAATTGCACCAAGTAGAGAAGAACGAACAATTGAATATTGTCTATCCAATAATGCATAGCATGAAATCACCAATTCGACAAAATTTCCGGCAAACGCATGAAGAATTGCACCATATGACTTTTTTTTTAAAAAAAAAAAAGGGAATCAATCAAATCAATCAGAGAATAGACAAAGAAATACTGAAACAAATAAATCAGGATTGATTACTTACAGGATGAAATCTGGCTGAAAGATCATCAATGCCGGTTGTCATAATTTTTGATAATGGAATGATAGCCAAGAAATTAAAGATAAGCACTATAAAGTCATTTACATCAAATCTTTTCAATATGATAGCAGGAGGTAAGAATATTAAAAGAAAATTGGATTTAACAGCAAGTAAGATTTCTCGTGTGTTCTTGTACCATTTCACAGGGTCTTTTGATACAATTTTTGGTTTTTTTAGTATATTTGGTGTATGAATATGAATATCCCGTGAAGCGTCCTCTGGATCATGGCCAATATTGGAATGATCGTTTTTTTCATCGATATGATTAGTTTGCAACTGGTGATTTATTGAAGGATGGTTGTGATTATTATAATCATCACTATAATTATTATTATAATCATCACTATAATTATTATTATAACCATTGTTGTTGTTGTGATGATTATTGCGATCATCATATTCTATATGTTCTCTCCTTAATATTCCATGATGAGGAGGAACGTTATTGGGAAAGTTATTATTATTATTAGGAATGTTATTATTATTAATATCCGTTGGATAATTGTTTTGGTAAGGTGGCGCCGGATAAGACATTTTTTTTTTTTTGTATGTAATGTATGGTTAAATGAATTGAGTGTTTTTCACCAGGAAAATAATTAATGATTTTATAAATAAAATGGTTTATTCTACTTTTTATTTAAAAAAGTAGAAGAGGAAAGGGATTAGGAGAGGAAGGAATGTGACTAAAAAAAAAAAAAACCAGAAATAATAAATTAATACATTAATTAATTAAATTTTCATGTTATATTATTAAATTAAAAAAAAAAAATAGTTAATCAATACAAACAAACCTTTATTACGTCTGCCTTGCCTGAAAAAATAGAATTAAAAAAAGAGAAATTTGAAAATTAAAAAATCGAAAGTTTTTTTCCTGATGTATAAAAACTATACACGATGTTACACATATATTCCAAATTAACAAAAAACTCGCATCTATTTCTAAATGAAACAAATTTAATGTTACACTAATTTCTAAAAATAAATTTGTTTATTAGCCTAATTGTAGAAACAATTGACCCAATAGATGCATAAAAATTTTCTTTATTTTACCAATATATAATATATAATAACATTATACTAATAATAAATGTTTACAGTTTAACAAAAAAAAGAAATAATATTCTTTATTAAACAATAAAGTGAATTTAGAGAGAGAGAGAGAGAGAATGAGAGAGAGCTAGAAGACAACAAAATGTTACCACGAATCAGGAGATTTAATAACTAATTTATATACGTTGTACATCATATAAATTACATGCTTAAAATTTAATAAATTTAATTAATTACAATTATTATTATTATTAGTAAAGCCAATAAATCGATCGTATTTGTACTCTTAAATAATTGATCAAGCTTAATTTGTTCATGTACAACATTCAGGACACGAAGCTTTCTAGGTCCCAGGTTTTTTTTCTTTTGGGAGGGTGCAAATGATACAAACGAGTTGTCTTCTATTACAGTAAGTACCATTATAAAATGATAAATAGGTTACTTTCGGCAAGCCGAGTCTATGCCTTCACAAATACAAGAATGTTTAGCGATTTCCAAAATGGGTTAAATTTTAAGATTTATGTTAATATTAATTATAGAAAAGCCCAATTGGTACGAATTTTAACATTTTTAGAAAGATTTACATGACTTCATGCCCGTGGTGGGGCACAACGGGTATCTGCTAACCAAACCTGGGAATTATATGTAGATTATTAACAAATTTGTATATATACAGTTCGCAATGCCCGTTACAGAGAGAATCCGTAACTGAATAATAGTATTAGTATATACGTAATGAATACTAATACTGATAAAATTGGGGCCTAAATTCGCAAGATCCGTTATTGAAGAAGATCCGCCATTCGTTCCAGAATGAATTGTATATTAATATAGTAATATTATTATCTTCACGTGACAGGATTTACATAACCGATTTTTTTCACCGAGAAATTTAATTTAAACCAAACTCTTTTTAATTTATTGATATTTTTTATTTTAATGATTTCAAAATGGATTGTTTTTAATTAATGAATGTTTTTTTTTTATAAATCTTTGATGCTAAAAAGAAGAAAAAATATATATGTATAAGAAAAAAATAATTATTATTTACATATTAATATATAATAATAATGATAATAATAATAATAAATGATTTTATATTATATATATTATTATATATAATTTTTAAACTAAAAAGCGAAATCTAAATAAAAAATTAAATAAAATTCTAAAGAAAAAAAGAAGTAATGTACAAAAGAAAAAAAGTGCTTTTTTTTTTTGGTTTTAAAAATTGTCCTTTTTTTTTTTTTTTTTTTTTTTAGAGAAATTAATTATTATTGATATGAGAGTGTTATTCCATGTAAGAGACATTTGTAGTAGTGGTGGTGTTAACAGGATTTGGTAAAATTATATGATTGTAATGTTGATGAAAATTATTATTGTTATTGTGATTATTATTAACATTTAAAATGGGAAGGTTGTAATTGTAATGACCGTGGTGAATTTGGTTGTGATTATTATTATTATTAAAATCAGAGGAACCAAAATAATTATCCGCGCCAGCGTCAGATAAAAGAGATTTTAATGGTGGTGGTTGGAACGAAGATTGTTGTTGATAATGATGATGATGATGGCTATGTGAATTTTGATTTAATTGATGTTGGGATTGGAGATAACTGGTTGAAGTTGGTGTGATTATTGAAGGAATTGAAGGAATGTCAGGTTGTTTATTAAATAAATTTAATTGTAATTGTAATAATTGTAAATTATTTAATTGTTGTTGTAAAAGTAAATTATTACTATTATTTTGAAACGCTGTTGGAACAGATGTAGGAGTTGTTATGGAAGAGGTGGAGGATGATGAACATGTAGAAGTTGAGGAAAGTCTTCTGCCAAATTGATCTTTTGTTTGATGTTGATCAATATTTTGAGAGAAATTTGAAAATGAATTATCGTTAATAACGGTGTTGACATTGTTGGTGTTTGGTAAAAATTCATCATCTTCATCAGTGTTCATTGCATCATCATTGTCATCATTATAATTATAATTGTTGTTATTATCAATAATTAAAGGTTGATACGATGATGGAGATGAAAATACATTGTTATTGTTATTATTATTATTAATTATGTTCATATTATTGTCATTATCATACATGGAAAGTGGCAAAGATTTTGGTATAGATATTTGAGGATAGGAGCAAGCTCTTTGAATGTATTCATTACTGTTATTAATAGTATGATTATCAAGATTATCCAAATTACTATTATTGTTATTGTTAAGATTACTATTAATTGGATAAGGTAATTTTAGTGTATCTATCAGCGTATTACCGGAACTGTTATTATTATATGATGTTGAGAGAGAAGGCGATTTCAAGAATGGACTCAAGTGTAATAATAACTCAGCCTCTGTTACTCTAAGATCATAGTCTAACAAAGTAAGCAATTGTCTCTCCATTAAATTAACTTTATTGACGGAATAGACACTTGAGAACCTTGCCCAATATTTATTTCTTGGAGATGAATCATTTAAATATTTTCTATATTTAAAAAAGAAGAGAAAATTTAATTAGTAAATAACCTTTTTTTTTTTTTTTTTTCCAAAAGATAAATGAAAATAAAAATAGAAACATACGATGCGACTATTAAAATAGCTAAAAATACTCGATGACGAGTGCAATGCATGCCTATAAAAAAAATAAAAATAAATAGATTAGCACAGCCACATAAATAACACGTGATTCTGATAACTTTTAATTAAATCACGTGATAAAACACAAAAATAGCGAGGATAAGAAATTTTACCTCTAGCGAGTTTAGGCAATTTCTTTTTTAAACGATCCAGATAAATTATAGTGGTTAAAAAGGTAGCAGTTGAAACGCTTGATCTTGTTACTAGACGTTGTATGAAATTTTGTAAGGGTGGTAAAAGTTGAAGGTCTTCATCATGATGAATATGATGAACATGATTGTTATCGGTGTTTATTGATAAAGATGAAGCTGAAGATGATTGATTTAAATTCTTATTGTTGTTGTTCTTATTATTATTATTATTCTTATTGTTAGATTTATGATTAGAATTTGAATTTGAAAGTGTTGACGATGACGACGACGACGACGATAAAGAAGAAAGCATTGAATCACAAGGAATAACCGAAGTTGCTTTTTGAGTTACATACACTATAAAATATATTTTTAAAAGATAATTTTATTAATTTATGATTTGATTTGGATTTTGAATTGAAGATCAAATAGGAAAAAGGAAAAAGAAATATTTACCAATCATCTGAGGTGTAATGGGACCGTCAACCAAATTTTTAAGCAAAATATTTGACATTTTCTTTTTTTTTTTTTTTTTTGGATCAAGAAATGATGCTTTTTATTTCGAGAGTTTTTTTTTTTGATTTTTTTCGTATATATATATATATATAATGATAAAAATAATTCTTATAGATTTTTTTTTTTTATATATATGTTTTATAATAGTTCTTATAGATTTATTTATATATATGTTTTATGTTAGTTATTTATATTGTTATTATAATAGTTTTTTTAGACTAAATTTTTAAAAAAAAAATTGAAAGAAAAAACTGAAAGTTAAAATATTTGTTCCCTTTATATTAATTTTTTTTAATTTACTCGCGTATAAATAAAATAGTTTTAAATAAACTTTTTTATTTATAATAGTAATATAAAAAAAAGCAAGCAAACAGCTTATACTATAGTGAAATTAATTTATTGGCTTGCTTGTGTGACAGACAAATTTTATAATAAAAAATAATATCAGGAGGTAGCAATTTTATTGGGAAATATAATTTATTGTATGAATGTTTATAATATGATAAATTATAATGATAATAAAATAAATAATACTAATAATAATAATGATGATATTTATAAATAATAATAATTTACAAATTAATTGATTCTTTAAAATTTATTATTTGAAGAAAAAACATTGTTACCCAATTACTAATTAAATAGAAACCATAATAACAATAATATTAAAATTATTTTATATATTTAGTAATAAATAATAATGTTTTATTTGGTTTGGGACAGAAAATTTTTCCTTTAGTTTTAGATTTTTCGTTGTCATTCCAATGATATTTCGTTGTGTTATAATTCCGTTTTAAACACAAAAAAAAAAAAAAAAAGCTATTCAATTCCTAATTTTGTAAATCACAATAATAATTAGGAATTATTAGAAACTTGTTAGTTACTTGCAAAAGTCAAAAGGAAATAATGCTTAGTAATATGATCCATGACATTTATTTTTTAGTGCAAAGGTAAATACCGATTTATCATCGAGGGAACTTTGTTATTTTGAGAGAATATTAATTGTTAACTTTATTTAGGAAATCAATTTGTATATTTAGAAATAATTTAATAATATTATTTATTACAAGAAGAAAAATAGTAAAATTTCCACGTGTTTTTTCACAAGTTTAAAATAAAATAATCAAAATAATAGAATAACAAAACAACTTAAGTGAATGTAAAAATGATTTAATCATACATTTTATAATTTATAATTTTTCTCTTAAACCATTTTTATTAAATTTGCCAGAATTTGCATGCTTCTTTCCCCTCTCTCCACAAACACCAACAACACCACCATCGCTGCCGCGCCCAATTAATCAATTAATTAAATAGCAATTAAATAATTTCTTTGCGATAATTAATGATTTAATTAAAATTAATAAATTTCTTAAACCAATCAATCAATCAACCAACCATCAACGAAAACAAACAAAACATTCGGAATCAATCAATCAATCAATAAATCAATCAAATTTCGATTATTATTATTGTTGTCATGATACTTTATTATTTGGTCATGTTACTCAGGAATTCTAAATTTCTATAATTTAACAGGAAATTTATTGGTTTCATAAGATTTTTTATAAAAAAAGATTGTCCGCATGAATGTGCCAAACTTCCGAGAGAGTGAGTGTGCCTTTTCTTTTGCTCTTTGATTGACATTTATGTATACGGAGTATATATATGTACGAATGATACGATATGATATGTGTAGATAGAATAATAGAATAAAAAACCAATTGATCCATCCGCCATTCATTCTTTAGATTGTGTTGGGAGAATAAAGAAGAAGTAACAAAGAGTTCAAAACGCTATACTGTATTAGAATCTATAACAATCAATTTCAATTTTATGCTAAAATGTCATAATAAAATAGTACAATAAATAAATATATTAAGCAATGTTACACCAACTTATTATTAATTTTATTAATTCAAAAAAAAAAAAAATAATAAAAAATTACCATTTTTATCATCTTGGTAAAATAAAAACAAAAACACAGCGTTTTTTTAATGCTCGGATCATGACGCTGCTTGTTACCGCCGTTATTAAATAGTAAGATGATTTGATTAGAAATTAAATTAATTAATTAAAACCTTTATATTTTTACTTAATTCACAAAAATTATTAATAGTAGTGTATTTGTTACAAAAACAAAATTATTATATTAATGCTAATTACTATTATTGATTAATTAGGCTATGTATTTTAATTAATTAGTGGTGTGTTGTTAATTAATTAATTAATTAATTCGTGGTTAATTAATTTAATTAATCACTAATTAAACATTTGACAGTTTAATTTTACACTCTATAATAATGATTCATAATTATTAATAAGCGATTGATTATTTGAGCGAGCGAGATAGAGGGTGAGTGAGTGGTGGATGACGATTTATTTTGTTGGTTAAATGAGAACAACAATATACTTGATGTTGATTGATATCTAATATATTTAATTAAATCATGTGAAATCATAAAAAAATTGTATTCAAAGCAAGAAACATTCGAAATTTTGTGTGTGTTAGTGTAACATTACTTTAAAAAAAATTTCAATTATTTATCTACCATATATGTAAATGACAAACAAATTAATAGAATGCTTTTTTCAAAACTGATTGCTTTATATTTTGTTTCATTTAGGAAAAACTAGGAAAAAAAAAAAAAAAAAAAAAGGTGACAGTCAATTAATTAACAGTTATGATTACAATCAATCGCATGATCATTTTGGTATGTTTAATAATAACCATTGACAGATGACCATAATCGTAATTACTATTAAAATCATACCACAAATAACCATAATTATCATTACCAACATTCTTTCTTTTCCCCCAACCCTGCCTCTTTTTTCTTTCCATAGTTTCCTTTATTCCATCGATTTGTTCTTTTCTCATAATGAATAACTAATTATAACAATTCAGTAATATTAGTAGTGATAATAATAATAATAATAATAATAATAATCGTATAATAACTGCAAAGATGATCATCACCACCACAACCACACCGAATTAATAATATAAAGTATGTAAAATAGACGAAGGGGATTGATTGTGATTATTGCGGAGATGCTTATTAATACGATGATGAAATATATATGTGTGTGTGTGTGTGTGTGTGTGTGTGTGTGTGTGTGTGTGTGTGTGTGCGTATGTGGAATATGTAATACGTTTTCAAATTTTATTTTTATCTACCAAAATAGGAAATGATGCAATAATATGGGCTCAATACGGAGTTTACTTAATGGAGGAAATTGTAATAGAAGAATAACACAATCGAATGAACGGAATGGGGAAAAATAAACAACCAGTAAAGCAATATGGAAATAGTAAATAAAAAAAATTAATGAATAAAGCAAAAAGAAGAAGAAGAAGGAATTAATTAGTAAATTAATTAATTTAAAAAAAAACAATTGAAAATGCTTTGTATGGCAATTTCAAATAGTCTTAGGATATTGATTGCCTATAGATAGGGAGAATGCAAAATTTAGAAATAGGCGAGAAATTCATATTAGGATGAATAAAAAAAGAAAAAGCCGTTGTCATTTTTTGGATTGAATTGGGAATTGAATTGGTTTGGATTGGTCTAGTTTGGTTGGAGTGTGAGAGTGAGTGGGAATGAATGATAGAGACACGTACTCCATAACAACTGATTGGTAATATCCAAATTATCAATAACCGAGAGAATTTTTACAAACAAATAATAATCGTCATTTTATTTTAACAAAAATAAATATTCCCATCATTCCCATTAATATTCATTCATTCCCATTAATAATATTATTAATATATGTAAATTTTTTAATTTTAAACAAAAAAATTTTTTTTTTTCACGATCAAATTAGATTGTTTTACACTTTTAACACTAAATATTATCAAGTCTTATCATAATAGCAATAATAAGTAATTAATGATATTATTACTATTAATAATTAACTAATTAGTAATTAATTAAATAACCGAGAAAGTCCATTCATCAACACATTTTTTAAACTAAACAAGGACACACTCTTCAAAACTCCATTGTATGTGTTTCTGAATTCAAAAAATTTATTGAGTCGTTATGATCGGCCTTTTCTTTTCCACCCCGCATTCCCTTTTTTTGTCTTTCCGCTCTCCGTTTTTAATTATTATTATTATTATTATTATTATTATTATTATTATTATTATGTTTGTCAAAAAGGTTTTAGTTTGAATTGTATCCAGATTTAGGTGTATAAGTAAAAAATTCCGGGATTTGAGTTTTATATAGTGTGAGTGTGTGTGTAATATTTCTTATAAACAAGGTTCTTTTTTTTTTCTATTCAAAAAAAGCATCCGGAAAAAAGATCATGGAAAAAAGATTTCAAAGAAAAAAATTCTTGTGTAAAATTTTTTGTTTGCACAATAAATAGTTATTGTTATTATTTATTTATATTATTATATTTGTTTATTTATTTTTCTATAACAGAAAACCCTTTTTTCGAAATTTTTACTTTAAATCGTTAATTCCGTTAACACAAAACACAACAACTTTCCATATTAATACAATAAAAAATCTTTCATGCAGGTTATTATAATATATATTATAAGCCAAGCAATAATTAAAGTTTTATTAGTTTTAGAAATGTTTCGCCTATTTAATGATTTTTAGATTTTGGTTAATTAGTCAAGAGTTTAAATAATAATGGGCGAGACGGACAACCAAAAAATAAAGTTAATATTATTTTGTTTTGTTACAGTTGAGGATAAATCTTTTTATATTTTTTTCATATCCATGTAAATTTTTTTTTTTTTGGGCGTATTTTAAAACAGCGCCAAATTGTAAAAGGTTTCATTTACGATGATGATAATGCGGAGTGTATTATAGAGGGAGTGTGAGTGAGTGAGAGAGAATATATTATTATAACATGTGCATGTGTGTATAATTGATGAACATTGGTAGTTATATCATATCTTAAATTTTTGCCATTTATTATTATTTATTAAATGCTATCATTAAATATTTTCCTCTTTTGCCCACCCGTTCTCACTCACACCCACCCACTTGCTCTTTATTGACTATTTATTTGGATAAATATAATGTACCACAAATTTCCATTTAAAAGTCTAAATGGTTTTAAAGTTTTATTAAAGTTCACATGATTCAACGATCGAAAAATGCATGCTGCATATATATACACCAGATATGTGTTCTACGATTTTTGGTTTAATACACTCTTTTTAAAGTTTGCAGATAGCCTTTGAATGGATGAATAGGAGAAAGAGCGTGTGATGAGGGATGAGGACGAGGACGAGGACGAGGATGGAGGATGAAGGATGAGGGTGAGGGTGATTTCGTGTCTAATTTATTATCTTGCATTTTACCATTTTAACATCACTTATTAACCTTAAATGCTAACAATATTAAAAGGTAAATAAATCCAATTAATAAAAAGAATTAAGAACGCGTAAATATTTGTTGGGGTTTTTTTAAAAAAAAAGAATAATTAATTTTCTAAAAATCATAAATAAATAAACAATGTGTAATTTGTTTTTAAACTCTTGAACTCATAATTGGTTTCCGTGTTGCACCACCGTTAGCCTTGACTTCCTATACAAATAAACACAAATGTGTTCACATACATGCTGATATTAGGATAGTCATCGTGCTCTATCTCATATATATATATGAATCGACCAGTTGTCATCTACGTAGCTAAATGACCCCCCATGCATTATACAATGATCCAAAAATAATCGTGTATCTTCTATTTCTACCCTTCCCTGAGTGAAACAACTGCATGAATAATAAGCCTCGAAAATGTTAAATTGGATCACGATTTTGTCTTATCCATCAACGCCTATTAAACAACTTTTTTTGAATATTTAATTAATCACAATAAGCAATGATCTGTAAATCGTGTGATTTAAACCGGAAAAAAATAATAAAATCAAATCCGGTTGGGTATCATTTGACTAAATAACAACAACAACAACAATAATAAGCCAACCGGATATTACCCGGAACAGATTTCTCGAACAGCTTCCCTTCCTCTAATTTTAAAGTTTTTTTTTTTACAACTATGCAGATCATTTGGTAATTTTGGTAATTTTTTAATTATTGTTATATTATTGTAATTATTGTAACTATATTAATCATAATAATAACTGTTAAAGGAATTTGGCAATTTGATAAGCCTGAAATTTTTTTTTTGAGAAAATGCTAGTAGCAAAAGGCAGAGTATGTTATACTAATATGCTGTATAAATGTTTTCATTTCATTGTATTTAACTTAATTTATCCAACGTCATTTGAGATTAACCTGATGTCATTCGAGTTTTTATTTTCTCGTTTTTTCAAAAAGGAAAATCCGTATTTCTTTTGATCCAATCAATCTTTGTCAAGCTCTTCTTTGTCATTGAGCGTTTTAAGTGGTTTCATATTTAACGCTACTTTATTATTATTATAGTCATTGATTAAAATTTCAACAATGCAAAAAAATTTTTATTTAATCAAAACAAAAAAGAAAGGCCCAGAATTTGAGTAAGGATCTTGTGGAATATATTTAGTCATATATATTTATGAAAATCTTGTTCTTAATCTTGATTTAGTAATAACTTTATTTTAAATGAAACAATATCAAATATTATTATAATGTCAATCAGAATTTTAATTCATTCAATGATGAATTTTGGGAATCTATTTAATTTTATATATATATATATATATATCATTTATGTACTAAGCCTTTTTTAAAAGAAAAAAAAATACAAGTTAAATTTTAAGGCGATATGCGATGATAGATTGGTACGTTGACGTATGTATGGGACGTGTTATTGTAAAAATAATAACGCGACAAAAAAAGAGTATCATTGTAGAAATCATTCAAACCAACCAACTAATCGGTTGATTATAATAATGATAATAATAATAATAAATAATAAATAAATAACAATAATTTAAAGCAATTATTACATTAGTATTAGTTTATGTATTGAGTGGGTATTCTCTCCCTCCTCCTCCTCTGGATAACTAAAATATGTATTTACTATATTTACTTTTATTAAAAAATTTTTAAGGCTTTTTTCAAAGCATTGAAATACACTTTTATTATAATAATAATAACCCAAAAATACAATTTTCTTCAACGTTATAGACGTGTGCTATAAAAAACAACATGCCACCCACCACTGATACGTTCTAAAAATAAATGCGTATTTCTTATATACGATTTGCTCTTTTTTTAATTTTCACACAAGGTACGGAATAGGCGAGTAACAGGTGCGAAATATGTGGCATATTGAAAGTGTACGTTTTTGTCTCCATACAACAAAACATACGGGAAACCCTCATTTTTATTCATTATTATCTATAAAATCTATATCATCATCATCGTCATCAATAAACACAGAAATTGGAACGTAGTTTTTCGAAAATTCTACATGACAAAAAAATAAATAAAACATCATTTTGTGGTTTAAACCCTTTACAACTTTTTTAGTTTTAAAAAAAAAGCAAACTTTTATTTGTTGATAGCGATTTTTATGATTTTTTATTTAATTATTATTATTTAGAATTATGAAAATTCACATGTTTAATATTTAAAAACCATATATCCAATATTTCTTCCAGGCGCTGACTGTATTTATGAATTCATAAGGCTAATACAACCAATGTTTCTCGATTGATTTTAAAATATTATATACACAATTATTGGTGGAATTGTTAAACTCATAATTACGTTACAATAATTAATAAATTTTCGAGTTTCTAGGTAATGAATGATATGAACTTCCGTGTCTTTTATTAATTATTATCGGTGGTGACGACAACAGTGCCTTCATTCAACATAATTCGATGTCATTGGTGAAAATGCGACAAAGCCTTTTATTATCGGCTATGCGAATAGAAAAAACAAATAACGTTAGATAAAAATAATTCACATTCAAGAATCTTAATAATGACAAATTATCCTATACTTTAGCTGGTATAACAAAAGTTGATGTTGTCATCATTATTATTATTCGAGTATGATACTTTTACTCTTTACTATTACCCTTGTTATTTGGGTTGGGCAGGGACGCAGATCACATAACACAAAAAGAGTATATAGTAAGTATGTTTTTTTATACATATCTTTATCTAATACTAAGCTATTTATATATCGAGACAAAATTATAACAACCCTTGTAAAATAAATATATATTTTTTAATTTATTTTTATATATATTACAAAATATGTTATACAGGGGATGAAATAAGAAGTTGATTGCAAGCATACCATACTATATATATAATGAACAAAATCAAGAGCTTATCAATAAAGTATCGTTTTTGATGATCTCGATTGTGATAATTTCAGGATTGTGTAACAAGTGACAACGATTGTAAGTTAGAGGAATTTAAAATAATATTAACAAATTACTAAACTAATACCAGTGATGATGGCTTTATTTAAATGGCGTCAACTATAACAATCAACAACATTTTATAACTATAATACGCAATTGTGTATTGTTCATGTTTATCAATGGAATAATAATAACAAAATGTAGCAGCTATTTTGTTTATCTAACAAGGAGATCTCAGATTTTGTATAATAATATGGTGATATATAGGTAACGCGAATTCACGATCGTAACACAATAGATATAGTACGATTTTAACATTGTTAATATTGATTTATTTTTCGATAACGTTAGTAACGCGAGCAGTGGCCGTAACACGTTATTACCAAAAGTATGATAGAACAATAAAGTAATTAAATATCTATCTATGATACACACGCAATTTACTATACTGTTACAGTCTGATTGGATCGTCAGTGACATGCTATTTCCGTATATAAAGTACGCACAGTTTGATTAGTATTAGTATTAGTAATGTTCAGTATCAATATGGATTCATTATTGTTTCCATTCTGGTACCGTTCTCATATTTAACACGGAAATGTGCACCTTTTATAGGCATCAGTTATTGTTTTGAATGTATTTTTTCTTTGATGATGCTATACCAAATGGAGTTCCCTGTTATTATTACTATTACTATTACTATTACTATTACTATTACAAATAATTCCGGAAAACATACGGAGAATTACTGTTTTTCTATATTAATATTAATACGTTTTCCGGGAATTACCGTACAGAAAATGTATTATACAGAATACAAATACTAATACTAATACTAATTATAATACTAATACGGACTTACGGGAAATATAAATTCCGTTTGTGTTCTGTATTAGTATATATGTACAAAAAAACCAACCTACGGGAAAATGCGCTCTTTCACTAAAAAAGATTCCGTACCATTTCTGTATTAGTGTTAGTGTTAGTATTAGTATGCTTTCGGTAGATCTTTCCCGTGAAAAAATTTTTATGGATAAATTTTTTGAAATCTTGCAATTTCCATGATGTTTAAGTCAAATTAGGACGATGATGATATTTTTTTTTTTTGTAGAGTGTTCTTTACTTTCATCGTCTAACAAAAATCTAACAAGGGAGTTTATAAATGATTTTTTATATTACATATATGGCGCGAGTCACCCTCTTGTTGCGCAGCACGGCCAAATTTCAAATGTGATGCCAAATCTTTAAAATGCCAAGTCTCAATAACCCAAATAAGATAGAGCTTTCTAGCCATAACTTAACAATAAGTTTTAGACCGTGTTAATAAGAAAAAAAAAAGTTATAGTAGTTTAAAGTTATGTATACAATAACCAAAAATAAAATAAAATGACAAGGCTCGATAACCAAACAAGCTAGAACAAAGACTTTCTGTTTTATTCTAAAGAAATCATATGTAGTGATGGGCGTTTGACTGTTATTGAAAAAATTTTTTTACAACAATATAATGATATCATATAATTGTTATATATAACAGTCACACGCCCCATCATTCATTAATTAATTATATGGGAAAGCTTTTTAATAGAAAAAGGATCATAATCTAAAATTTTGATTTTTGAAACTTTTAAAGAGATAAACATCTCAAACTTTTATTATGCAAAGCAGGTATGATCTCCAATCCAAAATATTCCAAGTAACATTAATCGGAATGCTTGTTTCACATTATGGCTGAAAAGCTCCGTAATTGCCGATCTTACAAGTCATAAGTTTTTGACTTTGATGTCCCATATGAGTTTTTAAAAAAATAACAAAAAGCTACAAGCCCCGCGCGCCGTATTCTTTTCTTCCGAATTTTCCCTATTGTAATCGAATAAAACTTTTCTTCAAAATTATCTCTTCGCTCGAGAACAATGCGGGTGTTTAGAATTCCAGGACACTTGCAAAGAAAATATTTACTAATGCTTTGCAAAAATATTTAACATTGACCAGTGCAAGAAGAATTATTTGAAATCGTGGTAGTTTAATTGTGGATGGCAGTAATCAAAGTGCATATTAACACACTTTTTATGCAAAGTTCACATATAGTCCAATGGCTATATAGAACGAATTTTCTTGTATGATCTGAATTAAAAACTGATATAATAAACTTTTTATCATGTTGCGCGAAAATTTTTATTTCGGTCAGAGATAACGTTAATTATTTAAAGAGGAACTATCTTTTGGAATAAATGGTGTCATAATAAAATTATTATTATTTAAATCTTGGTCCAAATTCTTTTTTCTTGAGCTCTAATTCATATCTAGTCTTTTAACGTTCCAACTCTAATTAATTCTTTACATTTTATTTCAAGTTCTTTTTCTTTAAAATCAATTCTATCAGCTCTTGCCTTATTATTGTTATTATTATTGTTATTTGTAATATTCGATTTACGTTTATTGCATCATTGTCTTGGGTGTATGGAAGTAAATACCTTGTCGAATAGATCTTGTTGTACAAGCATCAAGCCCATTATTCCTCCCAGTAGTGCTACTACCAACATTACATGAACATTTCACTATCCAGTTTACAAGATCTCTCTGTATATATAAAAATATTATTAAATATATAAAACCAAAAAATAGTAAAATTTACTGTAAAATGGCAGCATTTAAAAAGACTGGTTTTTTCCATAATGAATTGCTCTCGCATTGGTATCAGATGGAATTTGCAAAACAGCATTATTTAAGAGTTGTCACGTAAGTTATGGTCTTTGCATTTAATTAGCCCTGACGTGAATAATGCAATTTCTTCTTTTAATACTCTGTCATTGGAATTAGAATTGTTGGAATTATTCTAAATAATAAAGTGTTAATCGATAAAAATTTATTTAACCAATTAAATATATGATCATAATAAATGCAAAACCTTTCGAATCTCTTCCATCAGAATTTTCAAAATCCCATTCATAATAATCGAACAAAGATTCATTTTCTATTGTGATAAAGAAATTTATTTTAAATTTGGATAAGATGGAAATATCATACTAATTGTATAACATATAAAATTGTGACATAAACTAGCTACTGGACTATACAACCTCCACGTATCATGCTATACTAAATAAATGTATGCTCGTGGTATTAGTATATTATAATTATCAGTGCCATCGAAAAATGTTCAATTTATTAAAAAAAATTCATAGTTTCAATAATTAGCTTCATGTAAGTGAATTTCTAACAGAAGTTGAAGGCCAATTAAAAGTTGAAGAAGAGGAAGCTTGTGTAATAATAAAGCCTGATGTGAATCGGGATAGATGGTAAACTTCAGAAGACTTTGTTGAATAGGTAATATAGTTGAACTTGTTGAACTTATCTAAAATTTATTTAAAAAAATTATTTATAATCAGCATGTGATTGATCTACCGAAATAATTTTATGTTGCACGCTTCTCGCAACTGTTATCGATTAGATAACATAATTCAATACCATTTTCAAGCAATTAAATAAAAAATTCTGCGATGCCTCTTTTTTTTTCAGTATCAAATTTGAAATCACAAAATGCCTCCTATTGAAGAAAACAAACCATTAAAATGATGACGTGTGAAACGAAACAAAAAAATTTGTAATTCAACTGGCTTGCCGATCAGTATTACACCTTATCATTGTCGATCATGTTAAGAATTCCAAATATATTTATATAAACTTATTATCTTTAAGTTAAAGGAAATTTTTATTTAAATTTTAAATTTTAAACTTTTCCACGTGTATTATTATGTAACATCATGTCATCACGTAATACGACGATTAATAAAATTGGTAATTAACATTTGATTTTTTTTTCTTTTTAAATATATTAATAATATTTTATAGCAAATATAAAAAAATGAATAAAGACAATATTCAAAATTGGGATCGAATTGTAATTTATACAAGAAATTTAATGAAACAATTTCCTGGTACAAAGGATGACAACGAAGTAAGTTACTATTATTATTGATATGATATAAAAAAATTTTATATTGATACTAATAATTTAAATATTTTTTAGTTAATTAGTTCTTTAGAGAATCTATTAAAAACGGTGATACTCAAGTATAATCTTGATTTGGACATAATTGAAATTCCCGAACCATCACTCTTATATCATAAAATCACTGATGATAGAGGTGATTATGAAATAACAGGTTAATAAAATACAATATATTATATTTGTATGAATTGTTGTTTTTTGTAAAAAAAAAATCGTTAATATTTTCTTTATTCTATTTTTAGCTAAATTATTTCTTTTAACATCAGAGAAATCATTCATTTCACAATCATTATATTATTTATTTAGATTGCTTGGTATTAATTACTTGGATACATTGATCATTCATTTTCATGGCCTTTTATACACCGATAAAGATCAACTAGTAGGGGAAGATGGGAAAGATGGGAAAGATGAGAAGATTGAAGATGAAAACACAGAAAACAAAGAAGAAAAAAAAAAAGAAAATAAGGTGGATTTTAATTATATAATAAATGTATGGCAAGAATTAGAAAAATTATATGATGATAGATATATTGGCAAATTAGGTGTAAGTGAATTTAATATGAATAGATTGAAGAAACTAATTGATGATACAAAGGTGAGAAGAATTTTATTTCTGTTGCGATATAAATTATACTTTAAAAAATTATTTATATATTTAATAATTTATTTATTTGCAGGTTCAACCAAAGATCGATCAGATTAATATAAAGAACCTTTGTTCTGTATCTCGTGAATTAATTGAATTTGGTAAGAAAAATGATGTAGAATTATTGACTCATAGCGATTCTGATGGTAAATTCATTTTAATTATTTTTATGTGAATTTTTTTATAAAACAATTAATTAAAATTATACCTTGCTAATAATAATAATAATAATATAATATCAATTATCAGTAATTTTACCACAAGAGAATTTTCACAAGATTATAAAGGGATATACTGATTCAATGAAAAAAGCCACCACTGATAAAGTGTTAGATGGTTTTGATGAGAATGAATATGTGCCACAATGGGTAATAAAATATTCTGTGGAGATTAAATGCAGAGGAATAGTTGCCAATAAAGGGTAAGTGATCTATCATGATAATATGTTGCAATTAATGTATTATATTAATATTATTCTTATAATATCATCACAATAATTATTAGATATATTGTTATGGCAAGTAAACCTGAATCTAATAATCTAGAAAGAAAATATAATTTGGGCGAAAAATTTTTATAATTTAAAAATTGAAATTACTGTAATTATTAAAAAATTTGCTGTAATTATAAACTTTCTAATATAATAAATTAATTTTGTGCTGAATCTTGTTTGTGACAAGTATAACTGATATACAATGACTATCAGCCTTGAACATAATATCCCTTGTCAGATCAATTTATATGTTAATCAAGAAAAAAATTTTTTTTTTTCACTTGTTTATTTACATTTTTTTTTCATTTATGCCTTAAAATAATGCTAATAATAATTTTTTTTTTAATAATAGGCATTCACACAACAATTCTTGGCAAAAATTAAAAATAGATCGAATTTATTATATTTAAATTGGCTATTAACGAGCAAAGGAAGTAATTATTTATTTTCTGGTGACAATTTGTTGGTGGATCTTTGGTAATTACATCAATTAATCTTTTTAAGTCATTTTTTAAGGAATAGCGTCAGCAAAAGCGTAAAAGGACTGCCAAAGAAAATAGCCTCAGCTAACACCTGAGTGACAAAGGAATTGGGTGATGAAAAGATTAAAAAATATATAATAAATTTTTTGTCAAATTTGTAAGCGTGACTTAAGTGTCTCTTGGCAACGTGATTGAACCAAACAAAGTGTAGGATCATATTAAACCATCAAGGATAATTCCTTTAAAAGAATTCTGGTTTCCTTTATAACCCCTCATTCTAGAGAGTTACCCGACGATTTTATGTTATTATTATTAATAACAGGCATTATGTCTGTTGCAGGTTGGGTATTCGTCATCATTTGGTTATTCTCTAGCTTGCATAGGAGAATTCATCTGTGCTTCTTTGGGGAGTCAGATGAGAACAAAAATTTGTCAAGATTAAAGTTTGATTTGTAAACTTGGATTTTGACAATATTAAATTTAAAGCATATCATTTTTTTTTTTCGGTGATTAGGATGATCCAATTTTAAAAGAAATAAATTGGTCAAGTAAAGTAAAATGACAAAATCCATATTGTATTTAGAGACTTTTAATTTATATTTCAAAATATTGTACAATAATAAATTTTAACAAAGTTATAACAATAATAAAGTTTATAAATAATAATATTGATTTTCTTTAAAGTTACAGATGTACGTGTCACTTATTTCTCCAGTTAATAACAGACAAATCTAACTTTGTTAGACACGCCAAATATCTATTAATCTTTTGCTATTTTCTAATTTAGTTTCTCATTTTTCTCATTTCAGATCTACAAAGAATTGTAGATTATAAATTCATGTGATACCACATCTAATTCGCGGCAAACAAAAAAAATTTATCAGATTATTATTATTCATTCTTTTAAAACAGTACACATAATAATGAATTCATCCAAAATGGGTTTTTCTTTTCATCACTTTCCTATTACAAAGACCTTGGTAATGTATTTACATTTATTTATATATTGTTGTTGAGCATTATTTGATTTGATTAATAGGTTAGTAATTTTTATATTAACAGCAACATCAACAACTGAAAATCAACAACAACAAAATCAAAAACAAAAACAGTAATAATAATTTAAGAATCGAACGTGAAGCTAAAAACAAAGAAAATGCCAAGCCATCCTCTTCTATTAATAATAGTAATAATAATATTATTAGATCAATTGACCTTCCTACTAAAAAAAACGAAGATAATAGAAAAGATTTAATAAATGGAGGCTCATTGTCGTCTTGCTCATCTTTTGAACTATCTTCCGGACCTTCGCATTCCTCTCCTTCCTCTTCTACTTCGAATATTAGGTAATTTTCACTATTTTGGGTAGCAAAGTCAATGAGTGGATCAATGAGCCTATTAATCAATCTGATCACTTGTCCACTCGATCAATAGCCATAATGAACCAAAGATTTGGACATTAAACAATTTTGATATTGGATGTGGACTTGGTAAAGGACAACTTGGACGTGTTTATCTTGCAAGAGAGAAGACTAGTGGATATATTGTCGCATTGAAAGTAATGTCTATATCAGAAATTATTGATGCCAAGGCTGAAAAACAATTAAGAAGAGAAATTGAAATACAAAGTAATATAAGGTAGACAAGTAAATATTTAATTATTGATATAGGTTTATTAATTTTGTTATATTAATTGCCATATTAATTATCATTATAGACATCCAAATGTTCTACGTCTATATGGGCATTTCCATAATGAAACACACGTATTTCTAATTCTTGAATATGCAGCTAAAGGAGAGCTTTATAAGCAGTTAAAACAATGTACTAGATTTACTGAAAAACGCGCATCAAGGGTTTGTACATTTCATTCAATTTAATTAGTGTGTAAGGAGGATATTGATAATGATATTAATTCAGAAATAAATATATACAAATAATAATTATTAGTATATTGCTCAAATGGCAGGTGCTTTAGCTTATCTTCATCAAAAGCATATTATACATCGTGATATCAAACCTGAAAATCTTTTATTGGGTTCAAATGATGAACTTAAAATAGCAGATTTTGGTTGGTCAGTACATGCTCCCAGTCAAAGGTAATGTAATAATATATGCACTAATATCATTATTGTCCATAACATCCATTATACTAACATATCCTATCTAATAAAGACGTAGAACATTTTGTGGCACATTGGATTACCTTCCACCAGAAATAATCGAGCATCAAACTCATAATTCAAAAATTGATCTGTGGTCTCTTGGTGTTTTGTGTTATGAATTATTGTCTGGCTCTCCACCATTTGAGGAAGAAACTGGCTATCGTGCTACATATAAAAGAATTAGGAAAGTTGATTTTAAAATGCCTGGACACATTTCAGAAGATGCTAAGCATTTAATTGGATCGGTAAAATTTTTTCTTATTTACAAAACAAAAAAAGAGTATATTATTTCTTTTATCAAATACTTTTATTTTCTTCACGCATACAAACATGCACAAAAAAATAAATCAAATAGCTTCTCCAAAGAAATCCCGATGAACGATTACCCTTGGAAGAAATCTTGAAGCATCCCTGGATTTTAAAACATAAGAAATCTACTTTTAATAATAATAATTATAATAATAATTATAATCACTATTGTTAAAAATTGTTTTTATTAATCTTGGTTTACAGTATATATATATTTATACAGAAGACATCATCAGAGTTCTGTTCATCAAAAAAATCTCCATAGGAGAAAAAGATTTTCTCGGTGGATTCTTTTTGTTTAAAAAAGAATAACCCTCAATAATAGTGTTTTAAGTATTTCTTTTTAAAAATATCCAATTTGGACAAATTACATTATTTTTGAACCAGCCTGATCGCAAACTATATTAATAAATTTTTAAGGAATATTAGCTGTTAATTAAAAAGAATTTTCTTTTTGTTGTCCGTCACTATAAATAATAATATTACTAAGAGAAGTAATTTCGACCAGAAACCTTAGTGCTGTCCTCAAAGCGCCTTAAATTACATAAAAGAGTTTGGTGGTTTTTTTTTCGATAATGATAATGATGATAATAATAAACACTTGTTAGAAAATATGTCAAACTTAGAACAGGAGGTTTACAAACAAAGTGAACATATATCAAAATTAAAGAACAAATTAATCACCGAGATGGACATTAACGAATCGTTACTAGAAGAGAATGAACAATTAAAATCAAAAAAATAAAATAATAGACGTGAAAATAATATCACCAATTGCAAAGTATGCTTGGATAAGTCAATAACACATTGCTTCACGCCATGTAACCATTTTGTTACATATTTTTAATTTACTTTCTTTTTTACTTGTTATAATAATTTAACTTTAATACCGATTGTGATATTAACTGCTATTCATTTTCAATATAATAATAACATTTATCATCAATATAAAAGTTTTATTTTGTTGGATTTGGTCAAGTTCAGAAACATACTTCACAAATTTGCATAATCTTGTATGAACTTAAAATAGGGATCATTTATTAACGGTCAGCTAATGGATTTACTCCAAAAAAAAACTGCCTTTACATTCTACAACAGTTTATAAGTTTATAAAATATGAAAGGATTCTGGAAACTTATGGTCTTATTTATGTTTCTCTTGATTTACAAGAGAAACTAATTCCTTTACAAAATGTTAAAGTGATGCAAATGGTTTGTTATCCACAATTAATAAATAATCAATTAATAATTATAATTTTTGCTAATAATATTCCCTCTTTGGATTTTAATCATTGTTGATAAGATTACTCAAGGTAACTAGCAAGCAAACAAATATTACCATGTTTAATTATGACATTTATTATCATTTCTTATTAATTATTTTTTTATTCTTTAGTTGTAATCTATCAAACATATAAAGATGTAAAAATTTATGAAGCTGCAGCAATTTGTGATTTTGAAGCAGAAATTGATGGTAAATATAAAGTTAAAGGTGTTGTGAAAGAATTGATTAAGCTGTTGATGTAATAATTTATAATATATATGTGCATTAGTTAATAGACTAATTATTATTATTGTAGAAAGGATGTTTATTTGCTTGAAGAACAATTATCAGATGTATTCCAATGCTCAATTGGAAATCTAAAAAGTAATCAGACAGTAGTCATCAAAATCACTTATGTTGCTGAACTTGAACATGACTCAGAGAATGGAAAAATATGATTTTTTGCAAAAAGGTATGGATGGATCTTCTTCAGCAATAAATTCAACAGCTAATGATGGTAAAAACTTGTGCCTGATGATATAAAATATTCTGGGAAAGCAAATTATGAACTAGATTTAAAAGTTAATTGTAGAATGACCTCAGCCATTCAATCAATTGAGTCTCCTTCTCTTACTCAATTGAATGTTAATGGCAATTCTTAAACTTCTAATGTTACTTTGGCCAAACATACAGTATTACTTATTTAAAGAAAGATTTTGTTTTAGTTGCCATGTTGGACTAAAGTGTACTACATTTTGTTATTGCTATAGATCAGTGGGAAATATCCTGTGACTGTCATTACCGATTTTTCCCGTTTATAGAATGATCGGTCACATTCACGTGACCACGCTATTTTTATTTTTGATTGGAAATTTTTTCTCAAAAGGCACAGTAAGTTGCGGGACTAGGCATTTTTTTAAAAAGTTGCATTCATTTGTTATAAATAAAAAAATTTATGCATATTGTGAGATCAAAATCCGTATCTCACACAAATCTCTAGATTTTATTTATGATAATATGCCAACAATGTTAATACAATTTCTTCCAATTTATTTATACTAAATCCCAACAACAATTTCCGCGAGTGTAGATTTATGCTTTACTCTCAAAACTATCTTTTACTATCATTAAACAATTTCTTATATAAGAAATACTAAACAATATCTTCTTTAGATTTTACAATATGTGTCCTGATCACGTTTCTTGGTAGGTGCCCTTCTCGCCGTTTTCCTTTTTGCTACCAAGTCAGGTACGTCTCCAAAACTACTAAAAAGATTTATTAAATATTACCTCACTAAAAGAAAAGAAAAGAAATAAAAAAACAATAAAAATCATAGAGACAAATATAAAATAAGACAAATAATTATGCACGGAATTAGTATGAATTCGTTGTTGGAGATAGATTTATTATCATTACGAAAATATAATATTCGAAGACAACAAGGACAAGGACATGGCAGTGTTATTTATTATGATTAAAAGATGATTAACTAATGATTGTGATGATATTGACGATGATACATGAAATTAAGAAAATTACAACGTTATTTATACATTTTAAAGGGTTTATCATCTAGTTCTCCGATTTCTAATTAAATGTATTAGTTTGAACCTTTTGTGTAGAATTATTTTCTAAAGTGATCCAATCATTTAAATTCCTTCGTTTAAATTAAATCTAAGAATTAAAAGATTTGTTACATTTTAGAATGTTAGAATATTTATTTCTCCGTTGTTTGAGATATTTTCCGTGAGTAAATTATTTTATTGGTATTGGTGATTGAATAAAAATATGAAATTGGACTGGTTTGAATACTTTCCGATTTTATTTGCGTGCAACTTCGTAAATCATTTCCGATTTATATATTAGTTTCCCGTGATTTATAATTTTACAATAATATAATAATAATAATAATAACGCGCAATCAAATTCGGGCGTGTAACAATGTGTACAGTTGTACAAATTAATTTATACAAATGTCACAGAAATGATAAAAGTTTATATAAAAAAATATAAAATATTTTTCATCTATTCACTTTCAAATAATAATAAACTTTTTTTTATAAATAAAAAAAAATTTGGCACTTCAATACAAAACTCATTTCGAAATAAAGTTACTTGCTAACAATACATTAAAGTCAATTTTTGATCAATTTACAAAATTTTTGAATGCATTCCAACAAATTTCACACACACTTGACACAAACTAGAAATTTAGTATTGAAAAGAATAGCGTAAAAAGCATTTGTATAGAGAAGATTATATGAAAAACCGTAGAATATAAGTTAAAGACATATACAGTTAATAGAACAATAGACACATATATATTAGGTAGGGCTAAATATTACAAATTAACAAGTTGCAAAACTTTTTCCTATTTGCTTAAAAATATTTTATTATCATCATTATATATATATATATACCTATCTATTTATATACCTATTTAGATTATGATTTCATAATAATAATTAATATCTATTTACAAGATTATTACTTGATTAATTATAATATTAGATGTATAAGAATTGTTATTATTAAATAATAAATTATTTATTTACACACAAGAAAATTATATATTATTATTAAAAAAAATTTTTTGGAATACTAATTTTTTCTGATGCGGAATATTATTTTTTTATTTTTTTATTTATAGTGAGTGAAGTGAATTGAATTGAATGAAAAGAAAATAATTATATTAATCTTAGAAAAAATAAGACTAAAAATCACATCACATCACATCACGTCAATTAATCTGATGTAACACTAATTCACTCTGTAACACAATTGTGATAACAAAGAATACTTTTCACCATGTTAAAATAATGATCAATGACCAATTGACAAAAAAATTAAGTACAATAGTAGCACCTAATCTTATAAAAAAAACTAATTAAATATTTAGATAGAAAAGAAAATATTCTAAAAGATAGAACAATATTTTAAAAAAAAAGTATGACTACTGAAACAAAAAAAAGAATAAACTATTTTTATGATTGTAAGTAACTATCTGATATTATTTTTTGTAAACTTTACAGAAAGGAGTTGTTGATAAAACATCGAGTGATTATATATATATATATTGATGGGAACAATTCTTAATTTATTTTGTATATAGATGATATCATTGGGTTTGACCATGGTTCAAATCATCCGATGAAAACATTAAGAGTACAGATGACTCATGATCTAGTTATGAAATATGGATTGTGCAAGAAAATGGAAATCTTTGTATCCTACCTATTTTGAACCTTAAAACTTTATGTGAATCATGCTTCTACCAGTTCTTTATATCATTATTGTTGTTATTTTGAATCCTTAAGTAAATTATTCAAATTAAATTTTTTTAAAAAAAAAAAATAAATATAATTTAAAAATAAATTTTTTATAGAGACCTAGACCAAGTACATTTGATGAATTAACACAATTCCACACAGATGATTATATAAATTTTTTGGA